TAATAGTCTGAGGGCTGTGATTAATGTGAACAGAGGGTGTTAACACAGAAAAAGAGACCACAATAGGCTAAACAGGACAAACACTGGAGTGTTCAGGGTTTTGTGGACGGACAAAAATCCACCTATGGGACAAGTTGGACCAACAAGTTTAAAATGAGCATCTAGCCAATGAGACAGGAGTGTTTGTATGCTGGAAAATTTGAAAGGATGCTGTGAATCTGAGCTGCTGTGATAAAGGGAAGGGCTGGTTATTTAGATGAAACTGGTTCTCAGGCACTCGCATTCGTTACACTTACAATGCACAGTAAATTATTACATTACACTTCAAGACCAGTCAATTACATTTAAGTATTTCTAATATTTTAATAAAGTAATAATGCAATACAAGTTTGAAAAAGCCGTGTATCATTTATTTAGTAGAAAAGAAAGTATCAATTTAGATTATCTGTTAAGTATTGATAATGTTTTAAGTGCTCTTAAAATGTTTGATACCTATTATAACTGTCCATAAAGGCCTGGATTTTCAGATCTCTGCTTCTAGAACAACTGTGAATATGTTATTGTTTAGGAAAAAAAACTGTGCCTGATCATTCAGCTAAAGCCGGGTGACCGTTCACAGGTTTGTGTCACTAGCCACAGATAAAGGTTCCCCAGAGCGGGATGTGTTTGAATAGTAACTAAGACTTTGTGTGTGTAGTAAAGTGCCAGGAACAGAAGAAGCAGACATATGTTTGGTGATGCATTGCAAAGTATAGGAGAGATGTATTGTCCCCAGCATTGTGATTTAATTATTTTGTTATACTTTAGTCTTGACAACATTTTGTAGATTATTTGAAAGTCTTCAGGTAGGAAGTGATTTTTGTCGTTAATTGATAAAGGTTCTTGATGTTATCTAGCTCCCTTTCTTGAGCTTAAAGGTCATGTCCTTTGCTGTTGTCTTTTGTAGGTGGAGGCCCCTGCTGCTCTGATTGCTGCTCTCAGAGCAGCGCAGCGGTTGGGTGCTAGGGGGCGCCATGGAGTCGCTGCGCTGGGTGCAGCATCAGTGTCGGCGCCTGCTGTTCCCCGAGTCAGGACTGAGCTGGTACTCGCCTGCAGATTCGCCCCCCCAAAAAAACAGGACCACCAGTGGGGACTCACCCGCTTACAAGCCTGCTGGCAAAAGGCGCATGGTCATTGCCCGCCAAGGCCCATACCAGGATGAGTACTGCAGCATCTCCAAGGGTTACCAAGGCAACCGCATCCGTACCACCAAGTACAACCTCCTCAGCTTCATCCCAATGAACTTGTTTGAACAGTTTCACAGGTGAGCCCCTGATGGATCACAGTGCCTTTAATCTGTATCGACTTATATCAGTTTTAAGTTTGGAAAACAATTCTGTGTTTAGACCATTTTTGAAATACAACTCTAGAAAAAATTAAAGGACCACAGCAACATTTTTAGTTCCAGTCTTTTCTCAATTTATGGGTATGCGTCTGTAAATTATACATTTTTTTTATAAACTTCAACCTGCTTCTTCCCTGCTTCTTGGGCTTCTTCCTCGCTTTATGGGACTTCAGTCCTGCTTCTAAGAGCCTGATACACACTGTCCTAGCAGTGCACTTCACACCTGCACTTAATGCTTCCCGTTCCTTTTGAAGGTCACTTGATGTCATCCTCCAATTCATAAGGCACTGTTAGATAAGTTGGAATTTTTCACTGGCTGGTTTTTGGTCATTCCCAATATCTCTTGCTTCACCTTACTCTTGTGTACTGCTGTCTTAGAAACTTTGAGCCTGGAAGCAACCTGCCGCTCAGTGCAGCCTCTGCCAGCCAATCCAGGATTAAACCAAGATTTGTCAATGCAGATTCTTAAAAAAAATAAGGAGTGGTGTCTTAATTTTTTTCCAGAGTTGTAAATTATAAATTCTCACTCCTTAATGTTTTTGAAGTAGTTTTCCTGGCAATTTGTTTGCGTAACTTCACTGAAAAAATCTGCTTGTTGTCAAGCTGTATGTTTAATGTCGTTTAGTGAAACACCGTTAACTATTTGGTTGTCTTGCAGACATTTCGTTTTAGATTTTCTATTTATCTTTTCAGTATGGGTTTCCCCAGCTATACGAAAGTAGGGGGGGTTATAATGAAAACTTGCGTAAGCTGAAATGGTGTAAAGCGAAGAAGCAGTTATCTTTATGTGGGAAAATTTTTAGCATTCCCAGACCGAAAAAATAACCTATCAAATCATACCAAGTAACATATGAAACCTAAAATGACACAAACATATGGTAAAAGCAGGAATAATATGATATATCCACAGCCTATATAAAGTAGAAATAATGTATGTAGAGTGAAGATTCAGTTACCAGACTCAGTACAATCGCTTATACTTGATGACAGGGATACATTCTGAGATATACATCATTAGATGATTTTGTCATTGTGTAAACATCATAGAATGTGCTTACACAAGCCTAGATAATACAGCCTGCTAAACACCTAGATTATATACTATAGCCTAAATAAAATAATAGAAAGTACAGTATAGTAAATACTTAAACCAGTTGCATAGTTCTTTATTATCATTGTCAAGTATTACGCCCTTTATGTAACTCTATGTGCTGTACTTGTATATGACTGGATGCGCAGTAGGTTTGTTTACACCATCATCAGCACAAATGCGTGAGTAATGCGTAGCGCTACGATATCGCCAGGCGCCAGGAATTTTTCAGCTCCACTAAACACAGTTTTTGTTTTTCCCCTTTTTTTGTAAAAGCGAAAAACCTCTTTGGATGTTTTTTTTTTGGTTAGCAGAAAGGGTGCTAATGTAGGGGATACCTGTCAACTGCAAATTTTAAAAGTGACTAGACAGTCTTTGTGGAAACAGAATTATATAATGTAATAATAACGTCATTTCAAGCTTCATACAAACCACTCCTTTCAAACCTCATTGAACCTCATGTACTCCAGTTTTCGGTTTTAGCATATTGCCCGCAGCTGTAGTAACCGTTAGCGCCTTCAAGAAACGCCTCAAGACCCATCTGTTCCAGGAATACCTACTAGGCTGACCACTCCATGCTCCCTGAATGTTTCTGCTTTTTTGAATAGTAGGGCTATTAGCTTTTTGCGTAAGTTGGAAAATGATGTGTATCTTTGCCTTTCTTGTAGCTTTGGACAAAAGCATTTGCAAAATAGATAAAGCAAATGTAGTCAGTGGTTTTCTGGGACAGCTGGAGTAAATCATTCAGAGAGTGGATTTATTCTGATTTAATAAATAACCTTAATCTGGGTTAGTGATATTAGAACAGGCTAGAATGAACAGTCTAGGCCTGAAGTGTGAGATCTGGTGAAATGCATGTCTGTGCATAGTAGAAGCTGTATTGTGCACTTTTCTATTTGGGTACACAGTAGAGCTGGGCGGTATGACCAAAAATTTATATCACGGTATTTTTCAAAGTTATATCGGTTTCACGGTATACGGAGGTTTTTTTTTTTTTTTTTTTTAAGTATGACTGGGCATTTACCACTTTTTCCAGGATTTTACAGGACACATTTTTGTTTTACGTTTTTGCATTGTTCCCACATTAACTATATTATTTTATTATTAGCCATTTCGCCTATCCGCTACCTTAATGATAACATAACGTGTTTGTTGGCTAACTGCTTATACATAAACGGCTAATGTTAAGGTGTGCGCCGACCAAATTAACATTTTTGATAAATGTTTAATAGTTCAGTGTTGCTGGAACGTGGACTTTACTGACCTCGCAAAATTTCTCATAAAGACCGGGATGTTGGTCTTTAAGATCGCCAGGTTTGACGTGCTACTTGACTTCGTTGCCACAACTTTGTAGCACTGTTTGCATAGAGGCTTATCGACTTTCTTAGCCTTTCCATGCTCATCTGCAAAATGCTTCCAAATGGCACTTTTGCGTTTTTTTTTTTTGGTTACTAAAGCAGCTTGCGAAGTGCCTTCAACTGTAGCATATGCCATGTTCGGCCAACTCGCTATGTGTGTTAACCGGTGCGAATGCTTTCAGCGGCTATTGAGAGGAGAGGAGGGGAGGAGCTGCGTGAGTGTGTCTGTGTGTGTGTGTGCGCATGCACTCGCGCCTGTGCTGTAGTGGTGCTGTGTGAAGTATAGCGAATGAGGCAAGAACCGCACTATTGGTATCAATAATGGTGAAAATGAGTATCTAATCAGATACTAATTTATAATATCGATTAGTATCTGAGAATTTTAGCGGTGCAGTAGTGAAAAAGGTCCCCCCTTAAACAGTTTCCAGCTGCACCATTTTCCGAACGTTATGTAGGCTCTTTAAACCGGTATTGCGATATAAGAAAAATTCATATTATAAGAATAATAAAAAACGGTTTTCGGTATGAACTGGTATACCGCCCCGCACTAGTACACAGTCAGTTCTTTCGAGAAATCTCTCAAGTGCCGATACAGAAGAAGTTTTGCTGCCTCTCAACTTGAAACCCATTTGGATCATAGAACGATCCTAATCTAATCCTAATCTAATTGTGGTCTGAAGGATTGCCAATCTGTACTTCCTGTTCCTGGTGCTGCTGAACTGGGTGCCAGTGGTGGAGGCTTTCCAGAAGGAGATCACCATGATCCCCCTTGTGGTCGTGCTCGGCATCATCGCCTTCAAGGACGCCCTGGAAGACTTCCGCCGCTATCGCTTCGACAAAGTGATCAACAACAACACCACCAAAGTTTACTGCGGGTGAGTACCGGCACTGATGTTGATCTGTTTTTGAAACTTAGAAAAACCTTTGAGGCATATACAATAGTAAATGATGTCTAATAGTAAATGATGATTAATGGCTTGTCATCAGGATGACCAAGGGCAGGACTGAGAGAATCTGTAGATATGTTTGGATGTTGATGAAAGGAAGGACTTGTGGGTGTGACAGGATTAAGGCCACTCCAAATGAGCAGCCTGTTAGCTTTTGTTAATTTCTCCCCAGTCACATTGACTGATGACTCATGGGACTGAATAGCCGCATTCTTTAAAAAAAAAGGTTCAGCACATTGTTGTTATGAATTGCAATGGTATGTAAGGATTATGAGTAAATTCACATCGTCGCTGAGGACTTCGATGAGAACCAATAGGTCAAGCTTCTCCATTCTCTCTCTCTCTCTCTCTTTTGGACAATATAAAAGTATTTAAACACCAATTGTGTTTTTAGTATACAGGCCTGGATTAGGAAATTCTCCTCCCTGTGTTTCCTACAAATGAACGGTGCTGGTTTTGGTAGAACATTAACAGGGCTATTAGCTTTTATTGCTGTCTCCATGCAAGCAGGGCTGAGTTAGAAACATTCACAGCAGGTCTTGTCCAGGATCATCTGATAATTAACCAGTCTAAAGTTTGGGCTGGTGTACATGCAGGGTTCCATTATGCCTGAATCTCCAGTGAGAGAAGAATTCAGAATATTCAACAACAGCAATAACAATGATAATGATCCTGATGATTATAATAATATTTCATTATATGCCTGCAGTTACAGTAGGTGCTTCGGCATCTCAGCTATCTCCATCCGGGTTTTGATGTATCGTGGGATCGGCATAATGAATAAAATGAGACACACATTACACAAGTCAAGTTCTGTAACATAAAATATATGTACAGTGCTAGTTTGGAGAACGTCAAGCGTGTTTACGGCAGCCTCTCACTTGACATCTTGCAGTGATCTTGTGTTTCTCATATGTTATTGTGCTGCTTTGGTACCCTAAACTGAAACACTTCACTCGCTAAGACCAAAAAATTTTATGAGGTGTTTCCAGAACACCAGGGGGTCTGCACCCCTAACCCTCGCGATGTGGAGGGGTTGACTATATTACTTTTGCAGTCCAACTTTTGCAGTCCAATTTAATGCTGAATTCATTCTTCTGTATATCCGTCATTGATACATTATAATTTTATGCCAAAACATCTGTATGACGTGTTTCTTCATATTAGATTATTCTTTAAATAGTGACCGCTGTGACTGTCCTGTGCTGCGGGGGTCACTTTGGACACCCATGTCTCCTGTCGGCTTCAGGAAGCAGAGGCGATACGTGGACAAGTGTTGGAAAGACGTGTGTGTGGGCGACTTCGTTCAGCTGGCCTGCAACGAGATCATCCCGGCCGACATGGTGCTGCTGCAGTCCTCTGATCCGGACGGCGTTTGCCACATCGAGACGGCCAACCTGGACGGAGAGACTAACCTGAAGCAGAGGCAGGTGGTGCGGGGCCTGGCCAAGCAGGTATGACTGGAAACTCGCGGCGGCTCTCATAGCTCCGTCAATACGCTGCATCGCAGAGATCTAGCATTATAACTGCTTCAGTATAACTGCTTTTCAAACCTTTTTGTCAGCACCTGCATATACACAAGCTACCTACGGTGAACAGAACCTATTAATAGAATACTTAACAGATTATTAATTCATGTACATTCATATACTTATAAATAAAAAGTTTTGGTTTGGGGGGGATCTTGTTGCCATTAATTTGTTTTAAACATGCAGCCAAACTTTTTAATCAACCACGTCTAAGGACACATTGCACCTTTTGGTGCGGCACAGACTTTGTAAGCTCAATTTGTATAACCTGTGAACAAGAACCTTATGGGAAATGAAGCAAGTGTAATTGATGTGTCAGGATGTCTGTTTAATTAGTCAGTCATTAATGATTGAATAGTGAACATGATTAATGTGTTACTGAATAGTAACCAAGTACTTTTAGCTGGAATTTCTTAAATCATTTATAAATGTTTAAAAACATGTGATCTAATATCATTTGCTAAAAAAATGTAATTTACATAAACTACATTAACACCTCTATTATGTTCTGTAATATTTGTTAATGACTTAAGGAGCAAAGTTATTACTGTATAAAATGTTACCGAAAATGTTTACAATTAACAATTTGTCTTTTGTTGCTGTTGTTGCTGTTGGTGAAGGGTTCTGATGTGATTCCCGAAAATTTTGACAGTCGGATTGAGTGTGAATGTCCCAACAATGACCTGAACCGCTTCCGAGGACTTTTGTAAGTCTTATGAAACCTGATCCTTATCTCTCACTCGTCAGGCTGGTCACCAACAAATTGTCTCACTTCCTGTTATATGTTTTTATCTGCTGGCGAAAATGACAAGGCTTTATTGTGCTTGCATCTGGTTCAATGTGCATCACTGAGTGCAAATCAAGGAAGTTGAAGACATGTAGAGACAAACACTCTCAATAGCAGTTCACTAACAATTACTATTTATTGGAAGTGGTAATCACAACTCCCTCATTTATTACTTGACCTCCCAGAACTGACTGGCCTGTTATGTGACTCCCAGAAGCCCTAGCGCCCTATCATGTCTAATCACTGGCTTACCACAGGTCTTTGACATTACTGAAAATATTGTGGTTAGCCTGCAGAGGGTGTGCAACGAAACACACGGACATATACACACTCAAACACAAACATGGCTGAACCCGCCTGTCCTATTCAGGTTCGCGGGGGCCTGGAGCCTGTCCTTGAAGCTAAGGGTACAGGGCAAGAAATAACCCAGGTTGGGGCACCAACCCATCACAGGGCTCTCTCT